CCTCTCCCTCCCTCTCTCTCCATCTCCATCTCCGTCCCTCCCCTCCCTCCCTCCCTCCCTCCCTCCCTCCCTCCCTGATGCCCCAGAGCATGGCCCGTGGAGTAGTGGGGTAACGTTGAGGTCCTTTCTCCTGGTGTTGGAGCTGCTCTTGACTCAGATGGCCTGGACACAGAGCAGCGTTCCCGTTGCGGATGGTGTTCCAGGTGCTTCAAGGAGGCATCAGCGGTGCACAAGCCGTGCGGCCCTTACGTACCTATTCGAGTCTTCGGGAGTTATCACTGCTGGAACTCAGGTCAAGCCTGGCACGTGGCCGGTGGGTTCTTTGGCAGTGGACCAGCAGTGCTGCGGACTCTGGGTGGTCACGCATGGGAGATGCAGTTGCATGGACAGCTCTCAGGCACGGACTGCTACCCTGCCGCGCCGGTTCGATCGGTGGCTGCCTCCCCAGCACTGCACGCCGGAGGGCAAAAGTGAGAAAGTGCGATCGGCGTACCACAGAAAGTTGAAAGAACCAGAATCGAGTGCTCAGTGCTCTGAGGTACTCGCTGCACCCGAGCGCCCAGACAGAGAAGATCTACCGAAGTATGCTGGAACCTCAGGTAGCAGGCATTGCATCGTGGTAGCTGGGAGCTGGACTTTAGGACCGTGGTGCTCTATTGGACGTGGTTGATGACAAGGCTCTTCTTTCGTCCGCGCTGACTGCTTCGGAGACCTAGACTGTGGCAGGTGACGCTGACCCAGGGCGACGGAGTCGTCGCAGGGGACCTCAGAGGGCCCACGGACCCTTGGAATCGGGGACAACCGTGGCACAAGGCGTGTTCCAAGGCCCGATTGCAGCTGGGAGGTGCGGCCTGGTTGGTGACGCCTCTGCGAAGGCAAGTGGGTGAACTCCAGTCTATACACAATTGCTGGTCGTCCAAGCTGTTTAGTGTTTGCCAGCAGGAGTTTTCACCTTCAATGTTGAGATTCTGCATCTCTGCGGCCAGGCTTTCCCTGGAACCAGACTTGCAGGCCCCCGAAAATCTTCAAGTCGGCTACAGGAGGCGGGGCGACGTCGCCTGCAGGGCCTTAGAAACGAGTCAGCCCCTAAACAGCGTAGCCGACGTTAGGATCAACGTTAGGGCCGTCAGGGCCGTTAGGGCCGTTAGGGCTTCGGGTTCAGTGATCAGGTGATGTTCTGGCTCAGGTCGGGGAACGTGGTCTTTTTGGACGGGGTACTTCCCGGCATCAATTTCTCGCAGGCTCGAGCAAACGTGGTGTTCTTGTAAAGGCGAGCATGCACCAGAAAATCCGGTGAGGAGGACAAGGTGGTTTGCAAGCTTCCGCAAGGTTGCCGGGGGCTCAGCTTTCAGGTGTCCTGAAGGCTTGTGCCCCGTGCCCTGAAGCAAGGCCGTCCGAGAGGAGGGCGACGAGGTTATCTTTCGGTCTGCTTTGAGCAAGGACGGGAGCTGGTTGCAACTGAATCCGTGCCCCGCTGTGTGACTCATCGAGCGCATGACGAGGCTACATCTGCTTCCTGCGGATCATCCTAGATGCGGGCGGCTTTGTCTCCGTGTGTCGGAGCCATCTGCAGGCTGTAGTGGGCATGTGCATGCGCTCTTGCATGGCTTGACCTGCGCAGAGAGCTCGTTGCAAGATGCAAGCCGCAAGTGGATGTTGCAGGGCCGAGCTCGCGATGGACATTCCTACGATGTCCCGAGGCTCAGATTCCGACGCATGGGGCCATGGTCACGGTACGAAGAGAACCCACACGTTTGGACCAATTGATAAGGTTCAGCATCGCAATCTGGGTCCTGTTGAGGCATCTCTTTCGTAGCGATCTTAGGCAAAGCCAGCAGGCAGCACGTTATATTCCAGTCAATTGTGTTGCTAAAGCTGAGGTCAGTACGCTTCCTCCTGACGTCAAGAGCTGAGTGCTTCGATCGGATTGTTCGTGTAAGCTCTGACCAAAAGTCGGAGGCCTGGTACGCCTCTCGAGCTTTTGGCGGGTGCCAAGCCGCCAAAGCAGTCGAAGACCGAGTGTCGACTTGGGCTGGAATTGTTTTTCATTGTGCCCCATATTCGTGTGTCATGACCAAGGCATGCTGCCCGGAAGCAGCTTGCTTATCTGGGTCTCCAGGACAGCCTTGTCGCATCTTCGTCATGGAAGGGCCGCTCCCTGTCCTCTGCGATGTGCACCTTTACAGCAGGATGGCCCAGTGTCTGCAGAGCCCGGCGAAACTGCAAGAGGCCCCGGTGTTGAGCCTACTTAGGGTCTACTTGCCTGTCTGCTGCAAGCACCTGACGGGAAGGAGGGTCCATCGACGAATTGGACGGCTTCCAGGCTGGGCTGCATGTTGCGCTCCTTCCTCCTCCCTTTTCTTTCCAGTTCTTCGATGCTGCTCGTCCTGCTCTTCTCCTCTTTCCCTCCCCCCTCCCTCCCTCCCTCCCTCCCCTCCCTCCCCTC